TTTCTCGATTACCTTGGTCCATCGGCGTATCGGATAGATAAAGGCATAGATAACGCAGGTACGTACAGTACAAATCGACATGTGTACATAGATTGGACCAGGTGAACACCACCATAGCATATCATATCCTGGATTCGTAACAATAATTTCACTTTCTGCTTTGCATTTTTCATGCCTTGGTGAACTACAACGAGATGCCTGTTATGAGAACAACCGTGTCGGCGACCGTGTAGCTTCGATAACTCGAGCCCATTTCCCCCTTTCCTAAACAGTGTAGCCGTAACAAGCCAGTGTCGACTCGTCCCAGTGATAACCGTTTGGAGAAAACATGTTTTGAAAACTTCCTGTAGGATTTCCAGCCCGTCTTTTTCTTGTGGTGTTTGTTATATTTTTGGTAAATTCTCCGAAAGGAATTCACTGAGTTAGGGGTCGAGTGGTTTCACTTTGATGAGATAAGATTAACACGTTTTGAATAGAACGGCTTCTACATATTCGAACAGTTATTACAGGCTCGCATGTGTGACAGAAAATTCTAGTATTTAAGACAATTATTGTGTAAAAAAATTACTAAAAAACCTTAGTATTTATCAGATTAAATGAACAAAATCAGGGCTTAACACGCAATACCAAGATCGAGACTTTCACCAAAAAATCCCATCGTATTTATTTTTGATAGTCCCCTACAATTTCTATTAACCAAGAATTTTGGTGGACAATATTTTTGAAAGCAGAAATGTCCTCTTCCAACAGCAGTGTGCCAAAGGGCACGAGACCGAAACCCTCGATGACAAATGAACTTTTGTTTTCTCTAGCGTGACCTGTAGCTGGTACCCAACGAACTCGCCGCCACTGTCATCACAATGTAATAATGTACTGTCTGACTCTTGTTCTTATTATTATTGTTATTTTTTCGCTTTTCACCTTTTGTAACATCAAATACCAGCAAGGTAGACGGAAAAATGCTTACGTAGTTAGATTAGTACTTAGTGGTATTTCACTTGTTGTCGCTACGCACTTGGATAACCATGGGAATAAATAATTCGTAAAGCACCTTAATTAATTAATTAATTAATAGCAGAAAGTGATCATGCCAGTCGCTGCATTTTTTCCTAAACTTTACAGATACACTTTCCGTGGGTAATTAGAACAAATGCGAAGCCATTTCTTGCCATTATTTTGGCACTTGAATATGCGTTTGTATATATAAAGAAAGTTTTACTTTTCTGTTTTCTCCTTCTTATCATTTATTAAAAGATACCGAATTGTTTCACTCGGTTTCTTATTACTTTCTATTGGCTACGAAAATAGAAGCAACAACCATAAAAACACGTGAAAACTCATAAGAACAGCCGTGACATGGAATGAAATGTGCAATGAAAGTATTGTACCTCCTTATGTATAAATGAAATATGTAAGTATATACATGGATGCTAAGTATGGCACGACGGCTTTTATTTTCTTCCCCAGTATATAGGGAAGATATTGTAATGGTTTTATTAATTTGATAATATGATTCATAGATTCTGCGTTGTCTATGCTGTGGTGATTGACCGAATGATCTGCAATGATTGATCCCAATCGATTTGATAGTTGTTGACATTTGTTCTCTATATTTTTGTTTACATTTTGATTAAAATACAAAACACAAAAACAGACAAAATAACAAATGATTGAGAGCGAACTTTCAACCCTAAAGTAGTTTAACAACAACGATGTATATCTTGCAGGAGCGGACGAAGAAAATTCCCAAAAAAAATTAGAGTACAAGTAAAATTACGAAAAACACATGAAAATAAATAGAAAAACATAAGAATAGATAGAACAAGAAATGATTAAGAGCGGACTTTCAACCCCAAAGTAGTTTAAGAACAACGATGTATATCTTGCAGGAGCGGACGAAGAAAATTCCCAAAAAAAATTAGAGTACAAGTAAAATTACAAAAAACACATGAAAATAAATAGAAAAACATAAGTATAGACAGAACAAGAAATGATTAAGAGCGGACTTTCAACCCCAAAGTAGTTTAAGAACAACGATGTATATCTTGCAGGAGCGGACGAAGAAAATTCCCAAAAAAAATTAGAGTACAAGTAAAATTACAAAAAACACATGAAAATAAATAGAAAAACATAAGTATAGACAGAACAAGAAATGATTAAGAGCGGACTTTCAACCCCAAAGTAGTTTAAGAACAACGATGTATATCTTGCAGGAGCGGACGAAGAAAATTCCCAAAAAAAATTAGAGTACAAGTAAAATTACAAAAAACACATGAAAATAAATAGAAAAACATAAGTATAGACAGAACAAGAAATGATTAAGAGCGGACTTTCAACCCCAAAGTAGTTTAAGAACAACGATGTATATCTTGCAGGAGCGGACGAAGAAAATTCCCAAAAAAAATTAGAGTACAAGTAAAATTACAAAAAACACATGAAAATAAATAGAAAAACATAAGTATAGACAGAACAAGAAATGATTAAGAGCGGACTTTCAACCCCAAAGTAGTTTAAGAACAACGATGTATATCTTGCAGGAGCGGACGAAGAAAATTCCCAAAAAAAATTAGAGTACAAGTAAAATTACAAAAAACACATGAAAATAAATAGAAAAACATAAGGATAGACAGAACAAGAAATGATTAAGAGCGGACTTTCAACCTCAAAGTAGTTTAAGAACAACGATGTAAATCTTGCAGGAGCGGACGAAGAAAATTTCCAAAAAAAAATTAGAGTACAAGTAAAATTACAAAAAACTCATGAAAATAAATAGAAAAACATAAGGATAGACAGAACAAGAAATGATTAAGAGCGGACTTTCAACCTCAAAGTAGTTTAAGAACAACGATGTATATCTTGCAGGAGCGGACGAAGAAAATTCCCAAAAAAAAATTAGAGTACCCTTTAGTATTTCACTTAATTCGTTGATTAATAAAATAATCCAATTCATAAGATCATTCTACAGTCATATTACTTGGCATATTTTTAACTTTCTTTTCTATTTAGACGCAAGCGAAATAAAAGAAATGACAAATAATTTCTATTTTAAAAGTCAGAAATAGATTATTGTCGATTTATCAATGGATCGCATAAAGCACATTTTAGCTATGATAACACGTTTACTTGTGATTAATTGGTCCTAGCATGTCATTTTTACTAATTATGAAATACTGTATGGTAATCTTCTGATGGTTGTGAGTAGAGTGTCTACCTACCATCATTTTCATTAATTAGAATTTGTAGACAGGAACCATAAATAAACAAATAATTCTATTGGTAATAACAAGATCATTATAAGATAGTTTTGTATTGCAAATCATTGATCTCAGTAGTTAACCTGTTTTTTTCGTAGAAATTAATTTGGAACTTCTGCTATCTAAAAATCAACACCAGGACTGAACAAAGAAAACAATTAATCAGGAGAACCAACTTCTTCATCGACTCCCATTACTGTGCAGCAAGCATGGGCGTAGCGTGAGATTTTTCCTAGGGGGGGTTAGACAATTTTTATATCTGTAAGAATATATAGGTTTTCTTTCAATCCCTAAGTAGTTTAAGAACAACGATGTATATGTATATCTTGCAGGAGCGGACGAAGTAAATTCCCAAAAAACATTAGAGCAGAAGTAAAATTACAAAAAACACATTAAAATAAATAGAAATACATAAGTATAGACAGAACAAGAAATGATTAAGAGCGGACTTTCAACCCCAAAGTAGTTTAAGAACAACGATGTATATCTTGCAGGAGCGGACGAAGAAAATTCCCAAAAAAAATTAGAGTACAAGTAAAATTACAAAAAACACATGAAAATAAATAGAAAAACATAAGTATAGACAGAACAAGAAATGATTAAGAGCGGACTTTCAACCCCAAAGTAGTTTAAGAACAACGATGTATATCTTGCAGGAGCGGACGAAGAAAATTCCCAAAAAAAATTAGAGTACAAGTAAAATTACAAAAAACACATGAAAATAAATAGAAAAACATAAGTATAGACAGAACAAGAAATGATTAAGAGCGGACTTTCAACCCCAAAGTAGTTTAAGAACAACGATGTATATCTTGCAGGAGCGGACGAAGAAAATTCCCAAAAAAAATTAGAGTACAAGTAAAATTACAAAAAACACATGAAAATAAATAGAAAAACATAAGTATAGACAGAACAAGAAATGATTAAGAGCGGACTTTCAACCCCAAAGTAGTTTAAGAACAACGATGTATATCTTGCAGGAGCGGACGAAGAAAATTCCCAAAAAAAATTAGAGTACAAGTAAAATTATAAAAAACACATAAAAATAAATAGAAATACATAAGTATAGACAGAACAAGAAATGATTAAGAGCGGACTTTCAACCCCAAAGTAGTTTAAGAACAACGATGTATATCTTTCAGGAGCGGACAAAGAACATTCCCAAAACGAATAGAGTAGAAGTAGAATATAAAAATAAGTAAAATTGTAAAAATTATAACGTTAAAACATTTATGAACAACTTAACCCATAAAAATTAACACAATATCAAATGGTTTGGTGCGGAGGGTACAACATCGAGATATTAATTAAGAAAAAGTTGTCATCCGAAGAAATTGTTTAAGGATTTTGCACGCATCAAGAGCAGATGCAAACTGTGACAGAGGTTATCCAAATGACTTGTTTTTTTTTATTTTCTTAGTTCAATAAGAAATTGTACAAAATAAAGTATTAATAGTGATTTGTGTATGTAAATTTGGCATTGGTGATGACTGTATATTTATAGTGAACTGACAGCCCTTTTGCGTAATGGCCTTCTTCAGCATCGTACCAACAACTGCTCTATAGTAGATTGTGCGTCATTTGGGCCTAAGGCCTAAAGGGTTTATAGGATTTCTTTTGCATAGATACCTATACCTCATTCTAGCATACGATCAAAGGTAATTTCTTACATTAGTAGCCTAGACCTAGTGGAGGTAGCCCCTCCTTCCTGAGCTTCGCCAAACGCAAGTTATAAATGAAAGTGTCTAAACATTTAGTGAGTATAATACGCGTAACGGTGCCGTCGAAGAAAATAATAACAAGAACATTTTGTGGCAGGCTAAAACGTATTTTCAATTCGATAAAGTGTTACTGTGTTAACACAGCGAGTTCTTGTGTAAAGTAACTTTTTCGTTTGTGATTGTCTTTTCTTTTGGGGAATATTTCTAAAGGTGAAGCAGCAGGATGTTTCTGCGGAAGAGCTTGGTAAGTACAGCAACTTTAACAATATCAATTTTTTATTTTCATTAAACGAAAAAGCAACGTGGAATATTAATTAAAAAATCGGTATCAGTTAGGCGTGAACAAAACTACCTAAAATTGCAATTGTAACAGAAATCGATGCAGCTGGTATAGCTCATAATACAATATTATAGAATCGGATGACCGTCCAAGCGTCTTATCCTTAGGCCTATTTTGGATATCAGGGATGTTAACATTTAATAAGAATTTTCAAATTGTTGATTTTGGATGATCTATATTTTAACAGGACAGAACGGATTCCCATTAGCATAATACGAAAAAGGATTTACTTGGTATTTCCTTAGACAATCAACCCATAACATGTAACTTTTGAGTAAAGATACTGAATTATCTATCCAAGTCAACTTTTACTCTCCAAACATAATTAAAAACCGGAAATTGTCTCCATTGTTCGTAAATTGACGAAACCAAACTTTGAAACAACACCAGAGATGGGAAATTACCTTGAAGAACATTGTTCACGGATTTTTTATTGGCAATAGACACTAGTGTACTTAGATTGCTTCAATAAATAATTATCACAGTAATTATTATACGGAGTGTTGAATTAAATTAATCGATTTTTATTTTCAAAATAGGCCAGTGTAAGTTTCTTATTTTTGTAATTAATTAATCACGATATTGTTGGTGTGCCACATTGACTCTGATTATTGTTATTATTATTAGTTATATTGTCAGCTACAGCATTTTAATTAAAGTAAATTGTTTTAATCGCAGGAAACAGTTCATTTACGATTAGCTAAAGTTCAAACCACTTTTACATATTCCAATAGGTTTTGACCTGAAAATGCTTTGAAGTCAGTAAATTTAATTAATCGAAAACGACGAATTGTGACCTTGCAGTTATAAAATTATTATTCAATGCGTTATCGCATGATCTACATTAACGAAAAAGTCGAAATGCCTCGAACAAGTAGAATTTCAGAAACCACCAGGTCATGTAATAAGATTATAATTAAGATTATATAATAATTAAGAAGATTTAGATAGAGCATCGCCAATTTCCTCGTGGACCATCATAAAACCGCAAAAACGTAACGAACCAAAGGTACGAATCTTAAGCCTCAGAGAATTAATTCAAAAACCGATAACCGTCCCAATTTTTTTACGTCATCATTTGTAATTATGAAGGCAATTAAAAATATATTTATATCCACTGCATTGCGGCTAATTTATTTTTAATCGACAGAGACAATTTAAAATCGCTTATTAAGTGAATTTTTCTTGAAAGTGAAACTGTGAAACGTTGAAAAATGAAAGTGAAAATTGTAATATGTAAGTAATTGTTTAATGTACGCATGTGGTGCAACATTTTTTCTTCCAAAGACGGTCAGCTGGTAACAATCTTCGTATAGTCCCCTTAAAACTTAGATACATACTTTCTTTACACAGCATGTTGTGTGGTATCGCTGTAGGTACTTAATATTCCTTCATCGTGTGAAAAAACTATAGTAAGTTCCACGTATTACTTTCAGGAATGTAATGTGACCAATTAACGGTGTGAAAACGATCATTCAAGGCCTAAAAGTAACATAAACCTTGATATAAAATATTAATTCTCGGAGAAATGTGGTCCCACGACACGAATTACTATTAGTAGACTATCTTTTTTTTTGTATGTTTGAACTTTACCCTATTAATACTGCGACTAATTGTTTCCTTAATTTTTTACGTTACTTGTTGCAAGGAAGTAATAGAAAATTATGCGAAAACCACGAGCTGAATTTTACATTAGCCGTAAAAAAATTGCTCGGCAATAAAAGTGAAAGTGCAATCGACTTTTGTTTGAACAAATGCACCATATTTTTTTTTTTAAATTGCAGTGCAGTGGCGGGCAGCATGCTGTCAACCATTCCGGTTATGTCGTCGTCGATGTCCTCAGAGCCCATAATCAATTAAACATCGAAAGAGAAAGCTTTCCAATTAGATAATAAATTCAAATTCTTTCACTTAAAACATGCCACTTATCTTTTCTCTTGCGTAACACGTATGTTATATTAGATTTCTGACAGTAACCAATCAAAGAATTTTCCAACGATAACATTTTCTTTTATGATTAGATACCTGTTATTGTTAATATTACTAGAACAACATTTGTTTAACAATAACCTCGTTATAGTTCCTTGTAGTTGACTGTGCCAACACCGGCAGTTAAGCAACGACTTCTTTCAGTATAAAATGAAAAACAAAAACACCATTTGAAGGAAAAACTTCTCGGTTAGTTAACAGAATATAAATAACAATAAACGTACATGTCACACAGACTTCTATTATGCGTTATTTCTTTATCAAGAACTTGGGCAATCGATGTAGGTAATTGAAAAGTATGTACCTACGACTAAATATACCCACAAAACAAATTTTTTTGTACGGGTGGACACGGGAACAATTCTTGGAAAACGTGGAATATTAAATAAAAAAAATGAACCTCAGTAACAAAACAACTGACATGAAAAACAAAACACTAACAAATTAAGATACTTAACATTCAAAACAAGTGGTATTTCTATTGTTTTTTTTTTGTCAAAGTAAAGACTTCATTTTTTATTCTTCTTCTTTACGATCATCACCACCAGAAGGTCTTCGACTCGAACATCCTTAAAGCCTTTAATTCTTTGAATATCAAACATCGGCGACTTTTTTCCCCCATTTCACCCCCCAAGACCCGCCACTGCATTTCAGAAGCCGTACTTCTAATATAATCTAAGTAAACTACATAGCTTTCTTTGCTCTTGTTGTACTGTGTCATTACAAGGCACTTTAACATGTTTCGTTGTTCGTACTTCCGATGTGAAAGTACAATTTAACAGTAGACAAAACTGTGACCATATTTCATAAAAAAAACACCATCGGTTATCTTTTGTTCTCGCGATGTTGCTCTAATTTTTAAGCCTGATAGCATGTAATTATGGTAGTCTACGACGAGAAAGACCCAACGTCAAACTGTGTAGTGGATTTTGGCACATTAGAGGTCAAAGGGGCAAGGTAACAAGAGTATGTGGACAGAAAACATGTGTCCTTACATAACGAATTACTTTTGTATGCTGCAATGGTTGCAATTGTACCTACTTCTTATAATAAATTATTGCCCAATCTCGACCGAATGTAGTTACATGTTGTAAAGGTTAGTTGTATGTTTTTAACATGAAATCGGCAGAAACAATGGTACTAGGTGCACGGTTGTTTTCTCACGATGTATTATAGGCACAGGTAGTACCATTTTTGAAAGATGAAAAAATCAGAACAGTAAAAGGGGAACATCTCTTTCTTTCGTTAGAAACTATTGACGAAAGAAATCCAAAAATTTTCGAAATTTTTGTTTAGGCAACGTAATCCAAGTGCATCAGACGTCGCTGAACTTATGTGTAGTAAATGGTACTTTTATTGTTTTGTGTTTCCCATAATTTATTATTCTTTCAAAAGTTGCTTAAAACAATTGAACAGCATTCGGACACAAAAATCTCCAGGGAATTAATTAGCCATTGTTTTTTCTTCTGCCGCAATTAAAAAAAGGAGCACTTTTTTCACACAGTTTTAAAATGCATAATATACAGTAATATGTTTACGAAATCATATATTAAAATGTTTTAGTGTGTGGTATTAGCGACTTAGAAACATTTCTTTTTTTGTTGTTGGACTTACAACCCCTACCACTACTACTGTACAAACAACCACATATAACAAAGAAACGGACTAAAAACCCAAAAAAAAAACAAATGCACAAATAAACAACAATTAATAAACCAGTAAATTTATTATTGAACAAATTAGGTACAGTGACAGCATTTTTTTTTTAGTATTGTTAATACGTATATAATTATCTGGCAATCATAGACATAGGTCAGTGTTGAATTTTAGAAAAAGTAGAAGTCATATGCACATGTAAATTAAAAACGATTGTAGTTGAGAGCGGACTTACAACCCTTAATTAATTTATAACGAATCAACGAATAAACAACTCGAAAAACCAAAACCTTACTGGTTTTCTCAGTTCAAATTTTACGAATTGGCTTCGACATGTAGGTACATATATTGCATAGTGTTTTGATCAGATGAAGGTAAGTTATTTGAAGGAAATGAAAGTTTTTTACCTTTGGATTATCCGTGTGAACTGGAGCATTCAATAAGTAGTTCTAAGCAGGTACATATATATATATATATATATACATTATCACCTTTCTCCTTATGAATCGATTCAAATCCATACATATATATTCGCAAAATTAGTTCTGCATTACGCAGTTTTACTAATTACCCATGTAAAAGTTAAAAAAAAAACAAACGACAGACGAAAAATTGCTTTCACCTTAGTCGGCCTGTTCAAAAAAAAAAGACATACGGAAATTGTCCCGTTACTATTTTCAAATTTGTTTAGTGAATTGCAAAACCACGCCTTTCATAATAGTCAACTTTTACGATGTGTGAAGGTTGAAATGATCCCATGGAAACTCGTCAGGAGGTGGAACACAACAAACGCAGATCCGCAGTACCATGAATAAAGGTACCATTCCATATACATACATATAATAGACATCGCCTCTTGAAAACGACCTTCACCTGTGGCTCCGTGTTCGTTCGCATAAGAACCGTAGTGAAAAAAAAAGACAACTGCAAGATTATGCAAGATCTCCATTCGTGAGCATGGTGTATGCGTGATTAAAATGAGACAGCTCGATTAGTCATTCAACGGGACCAAAAGTAATTAATCCTTCTAGAAGTTGCCAGTTATTTGTGTACAAAATTAATTCTGTAGGTATTTACAAGCAGTAACAATACTTCGTTGTAAATAAAGCAGGAAGAAGTTTAATTTTTTGCGACTGACTTTGACAAAACGAATTTGTTTTACTATTATTATCATTATTATTAGCCGAAGAACGTAACACACACACTCGCATGAATGCGATGTGATACGCATCTGGTAGTTTTAATGCCAAGGTTGATGATTATTTATTGTAATCCTGCGAGGCGTGACCCAAATGATTTAATTTGTGTTTTAAATAGTGTCTTGAGAAATGCACGTCATAAAATTCGAATCGGCATGTAGAAAGAAAATTACATGGACGGTAATTTCAAGAACTGGAGCGACGGAATTTCGAAATCGAAATTACTATTGAAAAATTATATTTGCATGAACTTTAAGTCGAGACAGAATATACGTAATTACCGTCAATTATAACAATCGACGTATACAGGAAACAAAAGAACAGCAATGGCACTTGTTGACAAATGAAAGGATCGCAACAATTGGAACAACTGCCACCGTTTTTATTGTAGCAGAATGCAGCTGTCAGACAAACCGAAGAAATTAATTACTGTAGGTGTTACAGGGAGGAGATAAACAAGCAAATTAAATAAATAGTCTCCTACTAGCATATGGTGTAAGCTCAATTGAACTTTATTTTGCAGTATGTACAATATTTAACTTGACGTGTTCCGTGGGTGGTACAACTTTTTCTAGCAGTTTCAACATCAACAGGTTTCAAAGTGATCCATCAAGAGAGGAAAAGGAAAACCTCGCCAGGTACAGCCGGTAACACAATTTGTTCATAAATGAGTGACTATTATAATGCACTATTACCATGGTCTCAATAATGTAGTTCTCATGCATCTATCTGTACCAACATACACATACAGCGAATTTATATAGATGTTATCTTAATTGACCAAACTTGCTTATGGTGTCCTAATAAACGGGACCATAGTTCTTAATGTTTTATTGATTAACACCTTCGCATAGGTATTATTATACTATGAGTTCTGGTATGCAACTAACACCTTGCAAGTGGTCACAGTAGATAATGTAATCTCATTAGAGCGCAACTGTCTGATTACGCAGTAAAGAAACACGGAAAAACATACTTTCACGGAACACGACAGAATTGTGACTCTATCATTACGATATATGTCGTTATATAACAGGAAATTTGAGAAATTATCCACAAATAGGTATATAAAAATATTTTCGAACGGAGCGCACTTCAAATTTACATTAGGCAGTTTATGTAGGTACAGAAACTTAGCAGAGTCAAACCGTAAGCCAACAAAGTAAGCATTACAACAATCTGGTGTTCATTTGTTACCAAAAAACCTGCGACGATTGTATCATGATCATATCAGCAACTGTGGTATGATAATCTTATAATTCCATAACTAGTTCCTCTCTAATGGTATTAACATCAGAGTCAAACCACAAAGTTTTCAAAATGTTAAATAGAAATAAGCACACCAAAAAGCACATAAAATTATGAAAGGTTGTTTTGATCAGGGACCAATTCAAAGAAAACATCAAAGGAAAACCAACGACAAATGACATGAGTCAGAGGAGGACAAACAGTTTACATTAATTAACACAACAGGCAAGATGTACATGGTGGATTCACATCTTTNAATAGATAATAAATGTTTCGCTGTAAACAATATAGTAAGGAAATCTTACCTAATATGGGGAATGTTGGGTTGAAACGTGGGGTCTCATCGCATATTTGCAGGCAGGAAATCGTTTTTGTATATGGCGGGAATCCTTTCTGTCGGGGGCACTGTTTTGACTTAATTTTTTCATCTGAAACAAAAGAGAGGGATGTATTAGTAAAACAAGTAAACAAAACAAATAGATAAAAAATGTTTGGCTGCAAATAATATAGTAAAAAAATATTACCTAATATGGGGAATGTTGGGTTGAAACGTGGGGACTCATCACTTTTGTGTATGGCGGGAATCTTTTTTGGGGGGACACTGTTTTGACTTAATTTTTTCATCTGAAACAAAAGAGAGATATATTAGTAAAACAAGCAAACAAAACAAATAGATAATAAATGTTTAGCTGTAAACAATATAGTAAAGAAATATTACCTAATATGGGGAATGTTGGGTTGAAACGTGGGGACTCATCACATATTTGCAGAAAATCGTCTTTGTATATGGCGGGAATCCTTTCTGTCGGGGGCACTGTTTTGACTTAATTTTTTCATCTGAAACAAAAGAGAAATAACACATATATAAACACATATAAATATTTTCAAATTGTGGGTGGACTTACAACCCTTTTTTGTTAATTATCGACTTCTGGGATTATAGGGAAATTATCAGCAAATATAGAGTACGATAAAAGGACTATGTTTTGGCAGCGAAGTCTCTTTATGAATAATGTGCATATTAGTTTACAATTTGTCACCAAGAGGCCACAAGCCACCAAAACGAACCAAGTAAGACAAGTGAAAATTAGTAAGAAATCGGAAACAAGAAAGGTGATGGCAAACAGGAGTTTCAATTGTTTTTAAAAAACAATTCGTTATAACAGCAACGAAATATCCAAATATGTAGACACAAAAATTAGCAAATAAACATTGCACAAATAAATAAAATATACAGCATACAGGTATACACATAACAGTGTATAAATTGTGAGTGGACTTGCAACCCTTATTTAAAAAACATCGACTTCTGGTATAATAGACAAAGTCAGTCTCTTCATTAATAATTTGCATATTAGTTTGCAATTATTAATTAAATATAATGTACACATAATGTGTAGACAAACAAATCAATATAATAAATAAACAATGTATAAATTGTGAGTGGACTTGCAACCCTTATTTAAAAAACATCGACTTCTAGTATAATTGGAGAACCACATGTATTAGCGTCAGTCTCTTCATTAATAATTTGCATATTAGTTTGCAATTATTAATTAAATATAATGTACACAGAATGTGTAGGCAAACAAATCAATATAATAAATAAACGTAGAGTTTTGTTGAAATGTCACCACAAGCACGACATGCTAGTGTGGGAAAAACAGAAAACGTTGCACAAGAAGAATTGCAGAATGGTGGAGTAAATAGTAAATTAACAGAAGGATGAGTACAAAAACTCGTTAATTGGTGAATAAGACAATGGAAAAGAAACAATCGACGAAAATAAAACAAAAGAAAAAATGAAGACAAATGAAAAAACAACAGATCCTTGATAAACAGAATGGCTTATTAGTTTGCACATTTGTTATATCAAGTCGCCAACGATGAGACAGCACTTGGAGGGACCATCTTCGTCACTGAACGATTGACAACCATAACACAGACCACCCATGACCCATAATAATTACAGGAAATGACCTGACTGGAATCTTGGATAATTCTTCAACTTTTTTGACGAAATAATTGATCATCTGAAACAAAAGAGACATATATTAGTAAAACGAGTTAAAACAATAACAAATAATATTCCTATATATATGTGTGTATAGTATTCTATGTTTTTTTTTAGTGTATGGATTATGTAATGATTTGGTCAATAAAAGTTTAGCTTTACATAATATATTGTAAAGAAATATTACCTATTATATGTTGATGTTTAGATTCATCACCCATTATTGCAGAGGGTCTTTGTGTGTGACAGAAATTTGGCGATTATTGTCTAATTCAGGGCGATAATCCATAATAATTACACGAAATCGTTGTTGTAGGTAATTGGTCATCTAAACAAAAGAAAGATGTATTAGTAAAACAAGCAAAGAAAACAAATAGATAATAAATGTTTCGCTGTAAACAATATAGTAAGGAAATCTTACCTAATATGGGGAATGTTGGGTTGAAACGTGGGGTCTCATCGCATATTTGCAGGCAGGAAATCGTTTTTGTATATGGCGGGAATCCTTTCTGTCGGGGGCACTGTTTTGACTTAATTTTTTCATCTGAAACAAAAGAGAGGGATGTATTAGTAAAACAAGTAAACAAAACAAATAGATAAAAAATGTTTGGCTGCAAATAATATAGTAAAAAAATATTACCTAATATGGGGAATGTTGGGTTGAAACGTGGGGACTCATCACTTTTGTGTATGGCGGGAATCTTTTTTGGGGGGACACTGTTTTGACTTAATTTTTTCATCTGAAACAAAAGAGAGATATATTAGTAAAACAAGCAAACAAAACAAATAGATAATAAATGTTTAGCTGTAAACAATATAGTAAAGAAATATTACCTAATATGGGGAATGTTGGGTTGAAACGTGGGGACTCATCACATATTTGCAGAAAATCGTCTTTGTGTATGGCGGGAATCCTTTCTGTCGGGAACACTGTTTTGACTTAATTTTTTCATCTGAAACAAAAGAGAGAGATATTAGTAAAACAAGCAAACAAAACAAAATATTCTTGAAATATATGAATCTTAAGAATTAGAGGAATGTTGCGGAAAGCACCCTGAATTTGTACAATTTTTTTTCAGGGCGCAACAATTTTAATAGGTTTCTTCGTGCTTCTTACAACATTAGAAGCAAGAAGAGTCCGCGTGAGACCAACATCAGACGAAGAAGACGCCAACGTGCAATACTATTCGGCCCTAGAACCTGATTCAGAGGACGAATCAGAACAAGAACCTAACCAGAGGGTGGTTCTAGTATCTGCAGACCAATACAACGGATATTATGGTCAACCTACAGCAGCCGCCCCCACCAGGTCCTCACCATCGCGGGACAACTACTATCAACCGTCCAGAGGTGCGGCGTACAAGGCCGCGGCGGCACAAAGGCAGCGAGAATCAGCACCCAAACAACCCCCCGTTCAAACCATTAGAAACTACAACAAGGTAAACGACGATGGGTCGTTTACGTTTGGCTACGAAGCCGCCGATGGTAGTTTCAAGGAAGAAACGAGAGGAACCGATTGCGTTGTTAGGGGTAAATATGGATACGTAGATCCTGACGGCAACAAGAGAGAGTTCACGTACGTTTCTGGTAATCCGTGTGATCCAAACGCCCCCAAAGACGATCAAGACGAAGAAGAGAAAGGAAACGGTAGGGATGAAGATGAAAATGTCCCGCAGAATTACCCCGTCAGACCTGTAAGACCTTACAAGCCAATTCCCGTTGTTCCAACCCCCAAACCAGCTGTTGCACTGTTCCAAAATACCTACAGTTCCGAAGAAGAAGAACAACCCGAACCCGAGCAAGTGTTGCGACCAACAATAACGGTAAATGTTAAATAATGGTTCCCAGGTGGGAAGACTAGACTAGAAATCTTCAAATTTTTTGCAGAGTTATCGCACAAGCCCATCGTATCAAACGCAACCCCAGTACGAGACAAGAGAATCCCCAAAGATATACCAAAGGGTGCAACCAACCACCCCGTCGTCGATCATCTATAAACAGAGCATCACGCCCGTGTCTGCGAGCTCCAGACCCAGGTCAACACTGCCAGCAAAGGTCGAGGCACCAGCTACCACCTACCGACCGCAACTTCTCCAAGTAGGAGTGACTCCGGCCCCACCTGTGCTTTATACCAAACAAATTTCGGTTACGCCAAGACCTCACTTCTTACCCTCTAGCACCCCCTCGTCGCTCATCCTACAACCGAGACCCACCTTCGATCTGGAAGCCGAACTCCGGAAATACCAACAACCCAACAACTTTATCGCGAACGAAAACTTATTACCAAAACCCATCAAACCCCACCAAGCTCCAGCTCCTCTGGCACCTTCAAAACCTGAAACCCTAAGTGGAAACCCTGTTTATTCATCCGAATTGGTCTTTGACCCGTCCATTGGACAGTATAAGACCCAGTTGTACCAAACTCTGCCACAAACCCAGGGTAATTTTAAAGTGAGCCAAAATATTCAGCCCTATGTGGAACAGCCGCGACCGCAGTACATCCAGCAACCATCCGTGTTTAGACCTAGACCTGAAATTCCTCCCCAAACCCTTTACAAACAGCAACAATCGGGATTGCAGTTCCAAAATTCTGCAGAATTATTTGCGCAACAGCAAAGAGTGAGAGCGCAGCAACAACAGGCCCAAGCCCAAGCTCAAGCCCAGGCACAAGCCCAAGCAACATCTCCAAGACAGTATTATTTCGTTCAACCCCAGCAGCGATACAACAATGGCCAAATAGACTCCTTCTTAAGAGGGTCTAACATTCAATTTTAAATTGTACCAATAATAAGGTGAGTCATTTTTAATTAATAAATTTTATGATGAACTGATTTAGAAAAGTGATACAAGTGTAGTTAAAAAAGGACGATAATTAGTGTCAGAAAATGTTAATAAGTGTAGTGATTCTTCGAGTTTTAATTTTTCTGACTGGTTTTCAGCTTTTTTCTCTTAAATTTTGAAATAATTTAGACTTTGTGTACCTAATTTGTTCTTTTTGTTTTCTAATTTTCAACCAAAGTATCAATTTCCTTTCTCGTATAACAGCTATTCAAAAGATTTGTTTGCTTATGTGCCATTTTAGGGCGACTCGTTAAACAATTGCTGCTTGCCTGTGTGTTGTTTTCCAAAAATAACAAAATTGTTGTACATAGAGAAAAACAAATGCGTTTCTTTTGTCGTTACCTTTATATCTATTTACCTGTTGTTACCTAAATATAATTTTGTATACTTTTACTTCTCTATTAAACATTTATTTGTAACAATTAAAAACCATTTCGATTTTAGAAAAGTGTAGTTCAATAATTTCAAATTACACATAGATAAATGTTAGCATTAAGCATGTGTAAGTGATATTACTACAGCAATAGCTGCACAATGGAAATTTTTATAAGTTTTCACCTTGTATATACCACATTATACATATGTAATCGAATACAAATAGAAGTCTATTAGTTACGACTTTTTTAATTTTCGAAAATACAAAACCTATGAATTTATTAATAAAAGTTTAAATAATAAGGCAATATTAGTTGATATTATTGGAATTTAGAGGCAAAAGTTAAAAGAATTTTCTGGTTTGTGACCAAGCGCCATCTTGCAAAAGTAATAAAATGGTAATTAAGGTGCTTTTTCAAAATTGCCAAGAGAAAAAATATGATCAATCGCTAGTATTGATTGTAAATATTACGTTGAAAACAAATTCTGGTCGCCAACCTATGGAAATACCTAACAAAACAGCAGAAAACTTACCTTGAAAATTTCGACGCCATTGCTTCTTCTTGTAACAACTATAAATACGAGGTGGATGAAACAGGAAACGGAAAATCGAAAACCAACAAGCCCCTCCCACTCCCACAATGCAATCGAAATTAAATATCATAAAAAAACCAAAAAAATCCAATTTCGGATTTTCAATTTCGATTGCCTTAATAGATTCAGAAAATAATGATCGAAGTTGTATTTTTAGAAGAAATACACTTTCGAATAACTTACTTTCAGAGATAACCAAAATTTCAACAATGGAAAATCGCCACCAATAAAATCGTCATGATTTTGTTTTTGAACAAGTACCAAGCGAAAAAANTTCTTTGCTGGAGCACAATTAATTAAATAGGCACACCAAAAAGCACATAAAGTTATAAAAGGTCGTTTTGATTAAGGACCAATTCAAGGAAAACATCAAAGGAAAACCAACACCAAAAATGACATGAGTCAGAGGAGGACAAACAGTTTACATTAATTAACACAATAAGCAAGTTGTACATGGCGGATTCACATCTTTTTTTGCTGGAGCACAGTTAATTAAATAGGCACACCAACAAGTACATAAAGTTATGAAAGGTTGTTTTGATCAGGGACCAACTAAAGGAAAACATCAAAGGAAAACCAACGACAAATGACATGAGTCAGAGGAGGACAAACAGTTTACATTAATTAACACAATAGGCAAGATGTACATGGTGGATTCACATCTTTTTTTGCTGGAGGACAATTAATTAAATAGGCACACCAAAAAGTACATAAGTACTAGTCTCTTCATTAATAATTTGCATATTAGTTTGCAATTATTAATTAAATAATACACATAATGTGTAGGCAAACAAATAAATATAAAACTGGAGTTTTAACAGCNTTGTTCTCGCGATGTTGCTCTAATTTTTAAGCCTGATAGCATGTAATTATGGTAGTCTACGACGAGAAAGACCCAACGTCAAACTGTGTAGTGGATTTTGGCACATTAGAGGTCAAAGGGGCAAGGTAACAAGAGTATGTGGACAGAAAACATGTGTCCTTACATAACGAATTACTTTTGTATGCTGCAATGGTTGCAATTGTACCTACTTCTTATAATAAATTATTGCCCAATCTCGACCGAATGTAGTTACATGTTGTAAAGGTTAGTTGTATGTTTTTAACATGAAATCGGCAGAAACAATGGTACTAGGTGCACGGTTGTTTTCTCACGATGTATTATAGGCACAGGTAGTACCATTTTTGAAAGATGAAAAAATCAGAACAGTAAAAGGGGAACATCTCTTTCTTTCGTTAGAAACTATTGACGAAAGAAATCCAAAAATTTTCGAAATTTTTGTTTAGGCAACGTAATCCAAGTGCATCAGACGTCGCTGAACTTATGTGTAGTAAATGGTACTTTTATTGTTTTGTGTTTCCCATAATTTATTATTCTTTCAAAAGTTGCTTAAAACAATTGAACAGCATTCGGACACAAAAATCTCCAGGGAATTAATTAGCCATTGTTTTTTCTTCTGCCGCAATTAAAAAAAGGAGCACTTTTTTCACACAGTTTTAAAATGCATAATATACAGTAATATGTTTACGAAATCATATATTAAAATGTTTTAGTGTGTGGTATTAGCGACTTAGAAACATTTCTTTTTTTGTTGTTGGACTTACAACCCCTACCACTACTACTGTACAAACAACCACATATAACAAAGAAACGGACTAAAAACCCAAAAAAAAAACAAATGCACAAATAAACAACAATTAATAAACCAGTAAATTTATTATTGAACAAATTAGGTACAGTGACAGCATTTTTTTTTTAGTATTGTTAATACGTATATAATTATCTGGCAATCATAGACATAGGTCAGTGTTGAATTTTAGAAAAAGTAGAAGTCATATGCACATGTAAATTAAAAACGATTGTAGTTGAGAGCGGACTTACAACCCTTTTTTTTTTAATTATCGACTTCTGGGATTATAGGGAAATTATCAGCGAATATAGACTACGATAAAAGGACTATGTTTTGGCAGCGAAGTCTCTTTATGAATAATGTGCATGTTAGTTTACAATTTGTCACCAAGAGACCACAAGCCACCAAAACGAACCAATAGGAAGACAAGTGAAAATTAGTAAGAAATCGGAAACAAGAAAGGTGATGGGAAACTGGAGTTTCAATTGTTTTTAAAAAACAATTCGTTATAACAACAACGAAATATCCAAATATGTAGACACAAAAATTAGCAAATAAACATTGCACAAATAAATAAAATATACAGCATACAGGTATACACATAACAGTGTATAAATTGTGAGTGGACTTGCAACCCTTATTTAAAAAACATCGACTTCTGGTATAATAGACAAAGTCAGTCTCTTCATTAATAATTTGCATATTAGTTTGCAATTATTAATTAAATATAATGTACACATAATGTGTAGACAAACAAATCAATATAATAAATAAACAATGTATAAATTGTGAGTGGACTTGCAACCCTTATTTAAAAAACATCGACTTCTAGTATAATTGGAGAACCACATGTATTAGCGTCAGTCTCTTCATTAATAATTTGCATATTAGTTTGCAATTATTAATTAAATATAATGTACACAGAATGTGTAGGCAAACAAATCAATATAATAAATAAACGTAGAGTTTTGTTGAAATGTCACCACAAGCACGACATGCTAGTGTGGGAAAAACAGAAAACGTTGCACAAGAAGAATTGCAGAATGGTGGAGTAAATAGTAAATTAACAGAAGGATGAGTACAAAAACTCGTTAATTGGTGAATAAGACAATGGAAAAGAAACAATCGACGAAAATAAAACAAAAGAAAAAATGAAGACAAATGAAAAAACAACAGATCCTTGATAAACAGAATGGCTTATTAGTTTGCACATTTGTTATATCAAGTCGCCAACGATGAGACAGCACTTGGAGGGACCATCTTCGTCACTGAACGATTGACAACCATAACACAGACCACCCATGACCCATAATAATTACAGGAAATGACCTGACTGGAATCTTGGATAATTCTTCAACTTTTTTGACGAAATAATTGATCATCTGAAACAAAAGAGACATATATTAGTAAAACGAGTTAAAACAATAACAAATAATATTCCTATATATATGTGTGTATAGTATTCTATGTTTTTTTTTAGTGTATGGATTATGTAATGATTTGGTCAATAAAAGTTTAGCTTTACATAATATATTGTAAAGAAATATTACCTATTATATGTTGATGTTTAGATTCATCACCCATTATTGCAGAGGGTCTTTGTGTGTGACAGAAATTTGGCGATTATTGTCTAATTCAGGGCGATAATCCATAATAATTACACGAAATCGTTGTTGTAGGTAATTGGTCATCTAAACAAAAGAAAGATGTATTAGTAAAACAAGCAAAGAAAACAAATAGATAATAAATGTTTCGCTGTAAACAATATAGTAAGGAAATCTTACCTAATATGGGGAATGTTGGGTTGAAACGTGGGGTCTCATCGCATATTTGCAGGCAGGAAATCGTTTTTGTATATGGCGGGAATCCTTTCTGTCGGGGGCACTGTTTTGACTTAATTTTTTCATCTGAAACAAAAGAGAGGGATGTATTAGTAAAACAAGTAAACAAAACAAATAGATAAAAAATGTTTGGCTGCAAATAATATAGTAAAAAAATATTACCTAATATGGGGAATGTTGGGTTGAAACGTGGGGACTCATCACTTTTGTGTATGGCGGGAATCTTTTTTGGGGGGACACTGTTTTGACTTAATTTTTTCATCTGAAACAAAAGAGAGATATATTAGTAAAACAAGCAAACAAAACAAATAGATAATAAATGTTTAGCTGTAAACAATATAGTAAAGAAATATTACCTAATATGGGGAATGTTGGGTTGAAACGTGGGGACTCATCACATATTTGCAGAAAATCGTCTTTGTGTATGGCGGGAATCCTTTCTGTCGGGAACACTGTTTTGACTTAATTTTTTCATCTGAAACAAAAGAGAGAGATATTAGTAAAACAAGCAAACAAAACAAAATATTCTTGAAATATATGAATCTTAAGAATTAGAGGAATGTTGCGGAAAGCACCCTGAATTTGTACAATTTTTTTTCAGGGCGCAACAATTTTAATAGGTTTCTTCGTGCTTCTTACAACATTAGAAGCAAGAAGAGTCCGCGTGAGACCAACATCAGACGAAGAAGACGCCAACGTGCAATACTATTCGGCCCTAGAACCTGATTCAGAGGACGAATCAGAACAAGAACCTAACCAGAGGGTGGTTCTAGTATCTGCAGACCAATACAACGGATATTATGGTCAACCTACAGCAGCCGCCCCCACCAGGTCCTCACCATCGCGGGACAACTACTATCAACCGTCCAGAGGTGCGGCGTACAAGGCCGCGGCGGCACAAAGGCAGCGAGAATCAGCACCCAAACAACCCCCCGTTCAAACCATTAGAAACTACAACAAGGTAAACGACGATGGGTCGTTTACGTTTGGCTACGAAGCCGCCGATGGTAGTTTCAAGGAAGAAACGAGAGGAACCGATTGCGTTGTTAGGGGTAAATATGGATACGTAGATCCTGACGGCAACAAGAGAGAGTTCACGTACGTTTCTGGTAATCCGTGTGATCCAAACGCCCCCAAAGACGATCAAGACGAAGAAGAGAAAGGAAACGGTAGG